TGGGGGCTGGGGTTCAGGGTTTGTTGGGGCTGGGCTTTAGCGTTTAGGGTTTAGGGGTTTAGGGTTTGGGGGGCTGGGGTTTAGGGGTTTAGGGGTTAGGGGTTTAGGGGTTTAGGGTTTAGGGGGCTGGGATATACTTAGGAGCTAGGATTCAGGATTCTTGATTGCGTCCAAGTCATGTGTTTGTAAGCTTTAGGACTAGGGTTGTGGGGTGTGCAACAAAAGCTTTGCTGGTGTCCTTCCAGGCCTCCCTTCCGGGTTCTACTAAAGGGTCCTATAAGGGTGGCGGAAGGGTTGTAGAAGGAGTTTAGAGGTCTTGATCCGAAGAGAGATGCTGATGTAGGGATCTGAATAATTAGAATAGGATCTTGAGGTATATTCTCAACTACCATAAGGAACCCCCAAAATAGTATAGGTAGTTACTAAGGCCCCTACAGTAGTTCTTTAGGCTCCCAAGGATTGGGCGCTACGGCCTAGTAGCTGCAGAAAAGCCCACGCAGCCTACGGTTTCAGACAAGCTTTGAGTACACAACGCTATAAAACCCTGCGAAGAGAGGGGGAAATGACGCCAAATAATCTTAGACTGCTATAAAACACCTCCTAAACCCTAAGCCCTAAGCCCTAAACCCTAAACCCTATGCCCTAAACCCTAAACCCTAAACCCTAAACAGTAAACAGACAAACTCGGACCATGAGGTGTTGGCCCCCCAACTACCCTCTAGTATACCCCAAATACCCACTATTAAGGACCATAAGGGCTCCATTAAAGGGCCAGGTGTTGGCACCTAAACCCTAAACCCTAAACCCTAAACCGTAGCACCTAGCAGCCTCGGACCCAAGCGTCTGTATGGCATAGAAAGGTGAGAAGATGCAGCTTGTCACCTAAGAGCTGCTTGGCTCCAGCAAGACAGCAAAGGGTTTAGGGTTTAGGGTTTAGGGCTTAGGGCGCCTAACGCCGCCCACTGCGAGGGAAGATATAAAGTGCGGTTCTTGTTGTGAATAGACGGCTCCTCAACTACAGGACCTTCCGCAAAACACTCATCTTCTGTTCAGAAATCCGTACTGAGCTGGGGGTTTCCGAAAATAGGGGACCCTAATATAGTACCCTAAATAATAGGATCCTTATTATAAGGACCCCAAAAAATAAGGCACCCCCTTGTTTTCGGAAGCTCCCAACTAGTAAACACTGCACCCCCAGACCCTACTCTAGTTACTCTAGTTGCTCGGGCCTGTACACTGTGCAGCACTACCAGATCCGGCGAACTCAATAAAATCCTGTACCTGTAGAACTCTGAACCCAACCCTGAACCCTGAACCCTAAACAGAACCATAATCCTGAACCCTAAACCTTGCCCAAGACTCTAAAAACAACTTAGCCCCTCTTGCAAGGTCGACCAAAAGGAATGCCGCAGACCGGAACTCAGGCCAAAGCACGACACCTTAAATGAGGGAGTGGAGTATAGCATAGAACAAATGCCTAGTCCCGAGAAGGGAATACCATGAAGGTTGCCAAGTATTCAGACTTCTCTTTGAAGCTCTTTCACGAAGGTTGACGGATTATTGCCGGGTGGAGGATAACGGTTCAGGCTTACAGGGCGCGAAAGCCTCTTCAGTGCAAGTAAAGACTTTCGGTTTCGTGGGTTCGGGGAACTGTCGTTCTGGAGCTTCTTGGGCTTTGGACATTCGGGGCTTGAACCCTAAACCCTAAACCCCAAACTAGTACCCTAGATAGTAGGATCCTTATTGTAAGGACCCCCCTGAACCCCCTCCGATAAGTAAACTAACTGGGACACGGTCTTGAGGGGTGCATTCTGGCAAAACTATATATAACGGCTATAACGGGGTTCTGCTAAGCCCGATTATTTTGCACCCGAATCCCAACCCCAAATCCCAACCCGACCAATTCACCCGAAACAACCCCAAATCCCAACCCAAATCACCGGAAACAACCCAAAATCCAAGCCCAAATCACCCGAAACAACCCCAAATGCCAACCCAAATCACCCGAAACAACCCCAAATCCCAATCCAGATCACCATGATCGGGAGGTAACCGATATCCAGTACCCCCAGGCCGTAGTTTTTGACGCTCAGAGGCGCCTTAGGCTTTCATGGTTTCGGGGCTTTAGGGTTTAGGGTTTAGGGGGTTTCGGGTTTAGGGTAAGGTTGAGGATTTAGGGTTTCGGGTTTAATGAGTTTAGTAATTTAGGGTTTCGGGTTCCGGGTGTTTAGAGTTTAGAAAAGTAGTTTATTTAGGGTTTGGGGTTCAGGGTCATTAGGTTCCACCGACAAAGCAGCCCTGAAGCTAGAAAATGCCGCGCCTCTTTCAGATCCTACCCGGTTTTCGCGAGGTTTGTATACGCTCCAGAATGAAACATGCATTCTCTAGTAATATCTGCGGAGTACTCTTAGTCTTAAGTTAACCCGTGTGGGAGTCGGACCGTTGTGGTGAAGGGCTTCCTGTCCGTATGTGGTGACTTCAGGTTATGGTTGGGTTCAGGGTTTAGGGTTCACGGTTCAAGGGTTTAGGGTCTCGTCGGGGTTCAGGAACATGATTTACGGGAGAAAATGTGTCAGGTCCTGTGTAGGGAGTCAAGGGATCACGGTTTAACCTGGGACTTTCCAGGATACCGGAATAAGGGCGGGTTGAAGGAGTACTCCTGAAAAGGATTCTGGGTTGAAAGGCCCGGAAGCTGTCTGGAAACCCTACAACCCTACAAAACCCCACACGCAAGGGTTCAAGACTTGAATTGGAGTTTAGGACTTATGGGTTTAGGAGTATGGGTGCTATGGGTGCAGGGGGTCAAGGGTTGTGGTTTGGCTGGCCCTGCTGCTCGTTGCGCCCCTCGGACCCGTAACGGAGAATCATGCCTTAAGCAGCTTTTGAAGTTTTGAGCTCCATTCATACAACAATCCCTAGACCCTAAACTCCTAAACCCAGACACCCCCAAACCTAAACCCAAAGCCCTAAGCCCAATTCCTAACGAGATTCCCGGTGCTTTGCTAGACCGAGGCACGTAGGACCCCCGGACCAAGAAGGCCATTTTGAAAGGCTCATCCTCTCGCGCGTTCGACGGCAACGGGGTTCGGGTTCAGGGCTTAGGTTTAAGGTTTAAGGTTTAGGGTTTAGGGTTTAGGGTTGAGGGTTCGGGCTTTTTGGTTGAGTGCTGCCCGCATACAGTAACAGTCTACAATCGGGCTACTATTAAGGTCCTCATACATCTGATTTTATACTATATGTATGTATGTATGTATGTATGTATGTATGTATGTATGTATGTATGTATGTATGTATGTATGTATGTGTGTGTATATATGTGTATGTGTACCACCGTTACTGAGTGGGGTAGTATCCGGGGTTGAGGTTGAGGGCTTAGGGATACTTGGGGGCTTCGCATTGAGGGCGCTAGCTTCGGGGTACTTACAGTTTCGTCTTGGCCGTATCTGGCGCTTTGGGTGGGGTACTTTGCGGCTTTGGCTTGAAGTTTTTGGGTTTTGGCTACACTTTCTAAGTTAGTTAGTGGATACCATTTCCATTTTCTAACCATGCACCACCCCGGTAACCTAGACAAGCTGTTAATGCTGTGCTATTCGTATCGTTCTAGTCGCTACGGCCTTATTCCAAACCTTATTCCGATTGTAGAGAAATGATTAGAATTCTGGGTTCCGGTCTGTTATATGGCCTGAAGGGGGGGTGCGGTAAGAAAATGGAAATGTCTCCGTGCTTCGCGACAACTGTATTCCTAAACCTAGTTACCATTATAGACATGGGAATAGAACGTTTCCATTTTCTACGGCTAGGGGCTTCGGGTTGCTTACTATGGGTTTTCTATGGGGGGTGCTGGTCTATGGGGTTGAGTATGCTATTTTCTATGGGGGTATGGGTGGTTCAATAGTATGGGGTTCTTCCTGTGGGGTTCTTCCGAGGGGTCTTCCGATGGGTCTTTCGGTGGGTTTGGGGTTGAGGCATAGATTGTTATGGTTTGGGTGCTAGGGGGTGGTGCATGATTAGAAAATGGAATTGGTAGTTACTAACTAACTTTCTATAGGTGTGAGGGGCTGAGTACCCTGGCGCAGAAAAGGTCCCAAAGAAGGTGAACCGCTGTAGTCACGGTGGGAAACTATCCAACTCAAAATAAGTGAAAGCTTCCCTATCTAGCCCCTAAGGCCTAAACCCTAAACCCTAAACCCTAAACCCTATCCAGCCCCTAAGATGATACAAGCCCTCCATCGGTCCTTGGCTGCTTCTGACACCATCTGAAGTAGTTCAGATCGATCCTGATCCGGCTCAGGGTTCAGGGGTCTGGGGTTTCGGGCTTTAGGATTTAGGGCGTCGGGTTTAGGGCAGCGCGTGGGCTTTTGGGCGCTTAAGGCTCCCAGGGCCTCTGCTTGATCAAAGCATCCAAGTGTAAGGATTCTGGGTATAGGGTTTAGGGTTTAGGGTTTAGGGTTTAGGGTTTAGGGTTTAGGGTTTAGGGTTTAGGGTTTAGGGGATTTTTTCGACCTCAGGAAACCGACATGCTCAAATTTGGGGAAGTGTAGTGATACCCAGGTTGTTGTTTATTGGCTATTGAGCTTACCGTTGTTTTGGCAAACCCCCCCATTTCTGGGATCTGGACCGCAAAAACAGCAAAGAGCTGCAAGGAACACCTCCTTAGCACTGCAGACAACCGTGACACGATCACCACTCCCACGAAACACTGCAAAGTGGCCACAAAGTTCCGCCGCACCCAGTCGCGCATCACATACTTGGCCAATGTCACGGCGATTACATTCGCCACGAACTTGGCAGCCTCAGAGAGGTGTGGAACTTATGGCGGGGCGTCGGAGCTCGCGGCTTCGGGGCTAAGGAGTCGACGCGCGTAGGTTAGGATATGGGTGGTTCTATAGATTAGGGCCCCTCTTACGGTCGCTTTTCGAAGGGTGCCGTGCTTCTGTTGGGACCCAGAAAAGGGACCCCAATTTAGAAAACTACTCGTATTGAAAAAGCTCTAGCTGTCTTGGAAGTCGGGCTGTAGGCCGAGGATTGTGTTCAGGATGTCGGGAGTCTGCAGCGCGGTGCCTTCGATCACGGCCCTTATTGATCTCTTGCACCCTACCTTAAGCTTACAAAACCTTATTTTTGCAGGGTCCAAGTAAATTCTATATGATGGTATACAATAAGAACCTACAAAAAGTAGGTTTGGGTAGCTTAAGGTCGTCCCTGATCCCCAGATCCTTGTTATACAAAGCCTGAAACACCAGGACGATGACATCCAGCAGATGGACATGTATAAACACCGGTGACTCTGCCCTTTGCTGCCCTTTGGTAGCATCGAAACGAGGCTGATGAGCCATGGGGCACAGGTCAGCAGCAAGGTGCCAAGCAATCCGTACGCTGGCACGAAGAGGAATCCTCTGCCAGGACCCTAAACCCTAAACCCCCAAACCCTAAACATTTGATATTTAGGGCTGGGAGTCTTAGAAACCTTACATCCGAAAGCCCCTTGCTCTCGACCCCTGGACCGACATTAAGTCCCTCTTAAGCGTCAATTTTGGCTTACCAGAGCCAGAAATCTGAACACTAAATCGGGTTTAGGGTTTAGGGTTAAGAGCCTTCCAACACTTAACCCTAAAACTCCATTTGCTGCACTCTCACCCCAGGACCGTTTCGGGATTCGAGGCTCAGGGCTTAGGGGGTCTTGGGCGCACCTTAACTCTTCGAAACAAGAACGTGTCAGTTTTGACAGAAGGATTTCGGGCCTTCATTAATAATTGGAAAAATTTTGGAGTGCGTTCGGTGCATAATTGTGCTGGTGATCTCCAAAGAATACTACTGCTCTGAATGCAGGCCTAGAGCCCTCAACCAATCTTAAAGAAGACAGCTCCAGGAACTGAAAAGTCCCTACAGAACCGCTCTCTTCGTGGACGCCTTGATTGTTTAGGCATCTCGTCTTATGCCTTGGCTAGGGCATAGGCCCTAACCCTGAACACCAAACCCTAAGCCCTAAACCCTAAAACCCTAAAACCCTAAAACCCTAAAACCCTAAAGCCCTAAAGCGCTAAAAAACCTAAACCCTAAAACCCTAAAACCCTAAACCCTAAACCCTGTGGCGCAGGAGCCTCCAGAGAACTCCATGGCTGTAGTCGGTACCAAAGCTATGACACCGAAGACGGTGAAGACCTGCAGTCGCGTTTAGGGTTTAGGGTTTA